CACCTAAAAAATTTCCCTACTTAATCTAAATATTTTGAAGTACAAAATCCTCTTCCATGGCAGGGGTAGGGGTAGAAGGTAGAAATCTCTCCTTTTCTTCTAATTCCCTTGTCTTACTCAGCAAAGTTCTCCCACTTTATGGAGATCATTCTAACTACCAAATGATTGCTCGGTTTCAAGCACAATGATAACCCTTTCAGACTGCTGAGAAACCACTATACCATTTGATTATAGCTACCTTTTTACAATCAGAATCCCTATTCTTATTATAGTCAGCTCTGTGACTCCTAATATTCTTATTTCTAACTTTTTTTATAATTTTCAGCAAGAAGTGTGGCTAATCCTCTCCTAATTTGAGCATAACTGTCTCCCCAGATCTCATGGAAGTTTTACACATTGCTCCCATTTTTCACACTAAAAGTTTGCACTTCACTGTAACTTTTTGTATGTTGTTTTTCCTAGACATAGAACATAACTAGGAAACATGTCAGTTCTGTCAATGGTACGCATAACTTGTGCAAAGGTAACAAGACTCTTCCACTCATGCTTAATTCTGCGTCACCTGGCCAAATTTTGACCAGTCTTTGTCAGCTGCTGATCACACTGAAAGTCCTATTAATGCTACCCCAGAAGACCCTGTCAGGACCTGGCTGAGTCTCTTTTAACCTGTATACTTTATTGCCGTATTTGTTCCTAAATCGTATAATGTTAGCATCAGTCTGAGTATGCTTTTCCTTCTTCATCCTTTTTGCCTGTGATTTTGTCTAATACTAATATCAGAGCACCACCTATTTTTATCCCACCATACTCATAACCCCATTACTATTTCCTCTGCTACTGGGATTCAAAATCTGAAAATCTTCACATGAAATCATGTATTAAAGACTTCAACAACTCCTACCAACACCTATCTACTATCCATCTTTCCTCTTTTTTCCACTTCATAAAGGAAGATGAACAGGTATTGGTAGACATTCTACACTGGCAAATCCATAAAAACAGGGTCTAGCCATGGCAATGAAGAGGTAACAATGAAGTTGCCCATGACAAAAATATTACGCAATCTGAAGATTTCTTCCTATCCTGTATGCACTGAACTCCTGAAAAGAACTCCTGAAACTAAATTACCTACTTTATTTTGAATTTCAACATAGGTCCATTTCACCCCACTCCTCTTACAACCTAAATAAACTTCCGGGTCCAGCGTCACTCTCCCAGCCCATCTACTTTTCGCTGTCTAAGCATTCTCTCTTCAACAATCTGGTGGTCTCTTTTTCTTGACATTATCACAAAGACAGAACCATCTTCTCTTTCTGTTAGCATACATTCCTCTTTATTTTATGATTGACCAACCCTGCAAGGCATTTTGTGATTTATGAAATACATTACTAAAGAGAAGGGTTTTTTTAACATAATGTATTGTTTCTTGTCACTTCCAGTCCTCAGAAGAGCTAGGAAGCTAAGACTAGATGGAATGTCACAGAAAACATCAAAAATTGATACATAAATTATGTTTGTATTATACTGCAAGTTTACACTGTGTGCCTTTCAACAGAAAGTAAAAACTCTCATTCTTTATGCAGAAAAGAGTTCAGACCTCCACCTTCAGATATAAAAGGTGAAATGAGCACAATTTTAAAAAATGTTACTTTCTAAAGTAAAATATTAAATATATTTTCCACATATCTTTACTCTCTTTCTGTAAAAAAAAAAAAAAAAAAAGAATTAGTCCAGTTATTATTATATTTGAAATATCCGCGGTGCCATGAAAATATTTAACTTTGGGCCTGCTTAATGAACACTTTCACATATTCATTATTAATATTCTTCAAGAAGATTTACATCATCATCACTTAAAAAAATTCCTATCAATGCCACTGTTTCTCATCAGTCAGATAAACAGCACAAAGAGAAAGCACTGCTTTCAGATACTTAATAAACCCTGAATTATTTTCCAAAACGTAAATATCTTACTCAGATTTTTTTTAATTATTGATTTATAATGTAAATTGAAACATTACCTATATTTTACCCATGGATCTAACACACATACTAATAGTCTAACATTCATACTATTAACAAAAATCTGTTTTCTGCTAGACATTAATTTCCAAGAGCAGTTCAATACTGTAACAACATGACAAAACTCCTCAAATTATTACACAAAACAAAAATAAATTCTCTTTAGTCAGGGCCTATACCCCTGAAATAATAACAATAGAAGAAAACATTTAACAACAAATGGCAAAGTGAAGAAATTTTTAATACTGATAAGCAGTTCACAGGTACCATTACAAAACATACCAAGAACAAACTGAATTAATAAATTAAGTAAATCATCAATCACATCAATGGTTCTTCTTGGTAATAAGAATTTATTTCTAAGAAACTGTGATGTAAAATGAGGTACCATCTCCAAGATTTCTTTCTGCTCAGAAAAAAATGCAAAGGAAAAGTTGCAGTAAATATTCTGCCTGATAGCAAGTCATTTTAATAGGCCCTATTCCCCTTTGCAGCAAATCTTTTCTCACCATATCCCCCTCTACTCTCCCCTCATATTGTTCTGTTTCAGAGCTTCTAAGTTTTCTTAATTCCTTTTTCTCCTTCAAATTATTTCCTCTCTTTAGCACTATTTTGCAAGCAAAAAATAATCTATAAAGCAAATATATGTATTACACAAATATATATACATAAACACACAAACAGCCACAGTCCTGATTTTACAAATGGTTATCAAACACACTTTTCCCCTGTGTTTCATATGAGGCAGTCAATGGAGGAATCAGTAAACATAATATAAAACTATAAACTTTGCGTGCCTCTTGGAAGCGAAACTGCACAGAGTATAAGAAGAAATGAAAGTTAATCTATGCCTAAACACTGGAGAAAGCTTCAAATTCCATAAAGATTGCCACAACAGTCAGATTTAGCTGCTGCGTACAAGTTATCATCAGGGCTCTCAGGGGGAAGTGGTTGTGTTCTCACAATTCAGAGAAAAAACACTGCCTATCATGTGATGCTTAGGGACATGGTTTAGAGGTGGACCTGGCAGTTACATTAATGGTTGGACTTGATGATCTCAGAGGTCTTTTCCAACCTTAATCATTCTATGATTCTATGATTCTATTTTTCAGTTCTCCATAAGACCAATGTCACTGTCTTGAAGAACTACATGTAAATCCAGTAAAATTAATAAACATGTATTACTACTGTACATGCCAGGGTATTTGATTTCACTAAGGAAGCACCTGTCAACTCAGTTTAAATTTTTTAACAGCAGACAAGATCTTTACTATCTGTATCCTAAGATTCAACTCATCCTCCACTTTTTTGAAGAAAATATTATATTAATATCACATTAACACAAGATACATTCTACTGATACAGAAACAGCATTAGCGTAAATTACTGCAGCATTCCTCCAGTAAAAGCACATGTATAACAACAAATGAATCTTTAACTGTCTTTCATTCAACTTTTTTTTAGCGTTGCATTTCTTAACAACATGGGCCAATGTGGTCCAGAAAACGAAGTTGTATCCACCACTATTTCTTCAAAAGATGAAGAGGTCAATGTTTAATGACTTTCTTCATTTGGAAGTGCAAACAAGTATCTGTAAACTAGAAAAGCACTTATGAACTCATACCTCCTTCAAAACACTTAAAGAAAAAAAGCTTTCTTAGCTTCTACCCTTTGTGTCTAAGGACTTCAGGGTTTAAGTAAATGTCTCTGCTACTTTGAATTTTATAATATGCAGCTTGCTTTTTTTTTAAATAGCACTTTTAAAATTCCTAAGAATCCAAAATAATTTTTATGCAATAATTTTTTTAGTTAAATTTGTCTTATCATCTTAGAACATTTTGGAATTGCCTATCTTTACACATCCATTTTACAAAGATATAGTTCTTATGGCTGAGAAGAGTTTCTTAGTATGTCTAATTCTATCAAAGCAGCAATTAAAAAAATATATATATTTAATCAATTCAAAACATAGATTTGCATTACTGCAATAGCTGGTGTTTATCTTCTCTGTCTAAATGCAAGAGATCCACTATACAAGACAAGCAGGTAAACCTAAAGCAATGACCTAAGAACCAGCAGCTGACCAATTTACCACCTTCTTAGTTTAACTACATCATGTTGCATAGGTCTGTGTCTTTTGTATGGGTATAAAAATAACCAATAATGTTTTATGGAATTACCAGCTACAAAGTTTTCCATCTAAGTTTGGATGACTAGAAACTGCCAGAACCAAACTAAGCATAACATATCTTTTATGTATCTTTCTAATGATTTTATGTTCTCTTCACAGGTATTTTGAAAAAAAGTAAGATTTTATAATCAAAAGGAAAACATTTTTCTCATATCCTTTAAGATACACATATAGATTGTGGTATATGTATAACATTAAACCTACCTGTCTCTCTATTAAGGCTGTTCAATCAAAAATCTAAGATTACAGAGAAAGGATAGCAGAAGCTTCCTATTTAGGAAGTACCTTTAACACTGAATCTTATCTCCTACTGGGACTACTGAGTTAACAGTAGATATTAAGAATCTGATTCAAAAAAGCAATTAAACGCATGTTTAATACAAAACATGTTAGGCAGTCCCAAAGGACAACTGAACCAAAGACACTGATTTCAAAGAGGCCTTACAGAAGTTCCCTCAAATACTCCTGGGGCTCCCAACTCATTAAACTTCTTATATTGAATCATTACAATCTTTTTCTGTTGAACTCATAAGGCTTATTTGTTCTGATTAGGCTTTTCCTTTAAAATAAAAGAATGCATTACTGTGATGTTCTTTACATCACAAATCTCACATATTTCATAGCATTATCAGCTTAAAAAAAAAAAAAAACCAAAACACACAAAACCTTCTATCTTAGCTTTTGAGTAAAGCTTATCACTGTGATGCAATTGTACCCCATCTGTTTGGTTTAGTCAGCTGAAACAAACAGATAAATGAAACCATCTTTCATAAAAATTTAAACTTGCCATGACTTTGGCTCCCCAAAATGGAGATAATTAATACTGTAGAGATCCATGTCTTCAGTGTGCCATGCAAATGTTGTTTTCCACATGCCAAAATATAGATATGGTGTATTTACACCCTCAATAGAAATTCCACAGTCTTCTCCTACAACATCCAATATTGTATTAAGATGGGCAATATTCCATTCCTCAATACCCTGAAAAAGATACATAATAAATGTATTAATAAATTTATAAAGTAATGCAGTTTTATGTAATAGTTTCAGTCAAAAGAGACACACCTGATCTAGCCCTTCAAAAGACTGTAGATTAATACAAATTTGTAAGCACTCTAGAAGACAGCTGAAGTTACGCAAAGAAAAATTCTCTTGACCTTAGTAAGGTTTAGATCAGGTTCTAAGTCTGAGATATTCAGAGCAGAGAATGTAAGTTCATATCTGCTCAACACTTAATAGATCAAATCTAACATGGATTGACACACAATACACAACAGAAATAACAGCTGCAGACAAAATCTTTCATGAGTTGATAGCTGGAAGCCACTAAGTTTCACTGGGCCTATCTATGCTTTTTGATTACTTTCAAAGTAATACTAAATAGTATGAAAAATTATTTAAAAAATTAATTTACATGCGTAAATTTACCATTTCTCCTAAGAGTATAAAAACCAAAACTATTACATCACTTCAGAGGTATTTCTAGCCATAGTGATGTACTGCGTAAGAAATATACCACAGAAGAAATCCATTGATTTCATGGGATTTCAGCTGTGTCCTTACATTATTGTCTATAAAATTTGCATATTAAAAGCCACTCAGAAAGCCATGCATGTAGTTTTTATCGTATTTCAGATTCATCCACAAAGTGCAATTCTAATTTCAGGTAATACAGCATGTAAGAGTCAGTATCACCAAGATCAAGCTACAAAACTGAAGAGAAAGAGATTAGACTTCATTATAACACCAATTATTAGCACCTTCAGGGAAGACATTAGCTGGTGCTCAAGCAGTCAGAAAAACAAGAAATATAATCAAAACTATTACAAACTCAACTCAGGCAAGTTTTTTTTATTGGGAAGACAGCCCCTAAACACACCATTAACGCTCCACAGCCCCCATTACTGAACTCTGTACAGTTCTGGTAATCTTACTCAAATTTAGGGAATGAATTGATGGCGGATTGCAGTCCTGATGAAGCTGATTAAGACTAAGACACATGGTGACATTCAATAGTTGGGCAGGTGGTGAAGTAAGAATACAGGTTAAAGCAAGAAGTAACCAAAATGTAATACTCTCAGTTTTCATTTCCTTGTTTTTTTGAGATTTTATGTCAACTAGAATTGATATACAAAACGGTAACTTCTGTGAAGTTCAACCTTCTCATTGAACAAGCACTTCTGACTGCCTGCTATGACTATTTCACTTAGTAAGAAATACTATCTGCAAGTTATCTGGGGCTTTTACAAAGGAGTAGTTGACTTTTACAGAATGAGTTCATTCCAGACAGCAATTTTTGTTCTTTTTTTAAAATGGAGGCTTTGGCTTTGATGCATTTGTGTGACATAAAGGCACTTGAAATTTAAAAATAAAAAGAAAAATTAACATGAGGACCACTATCAAAGAAAAAAAAAAAGAAAAAAACCTAAACACCAATATGAACTCAAATAGCAGATGCCAGTAAAATTTGCACCTTTCAAATCTAAAAATCATAATCATCAGCAAGGTAGTAGAGATGTAAAATACAAAATTTGTTTGAAAAAACAATTTTAACTAATTATTCCTCTAATTAATTTACAGATTTATTTTTTTTAAATCACATAAAATTTATCTCTGTACACAAATTGTGCAGTCAATCTGCAGAAACAAATTAATACAGCAAAATAAGAGCAATGACTGAACCATGTAGGCACAGAGACACATCCAAGGTTAGAAGACAACAATAAATACACTAGATAAAAATCAACTGTTAATGTAGGGAGTATACTCTTTCTGGCAGTGGCCAAAAGCAGACAAGAAACAGTGTACGCAAAGGAGTACTTCCCCAGACTACCCTTGCAGCCTGCAGCAATTTGCAGATGGAAGATTTTTCCAGACAGAGGTGTTATCCTTCTACTGTTAGTACCCTGTGGGCTTTTTACCAATTTATTCATCCAGTCACCTTCTTTAATCCATGTAAGCTTTTAGCAACCATAACATCCTGAAATCTTAACTCTTCTCTTATTAACAATTAAGTGATAGTTAAGAATAAATTATCCTTTTTTTTAACACCACATCTCATCTTTTTACCCTCTGTTAAGTCAAGTCACAACTAGTCACCAAGCAAACTGCTAGTGGTCTGTCCCTAAAACAAAAGCAAATCCTCTCATGGAGAACAATCCCAGGAGAAAAAGTTTGCTTCAAAACACCAAATATACCAAATACACAATCCACAACCTCTACACTCAAGATGCATGAGCTATGTCATTTCCTAAAGACTATTTTTGACAAGTAGTCTTAGCTCAAAAGGAAATGTTCACTGACATTGGCTAAAATCATACTGATTTATTTTAAATCTTCATACATTCCTTGAACTTAAAAAAAAAACATTTTTATATTTATGCCTAGATTGTTAACAAGTAATTATTGTAAATTATTATTAAAGCTGTTACTTTCCCTTATAGATGTATTTTTTAATATTCCAAAACATGAATTAAAATGTTTACATGATTTTTTAAGTAAAATATCAATTCTAACTTTTCCAATAGTTATATAACTGTTTTTAAACTTTACAATTGCAATGCACACTAAAAAGATCACAGGAGCTGTAAAAGAGCAGTTTCACAGGTCAAGACATAACAATACTTCTCAAAATGAAAGTATATTTTAGCAGGTTATGCTATATTTAATAACCATTATTAGAACACCAGTACGCATATTACATGACCATAAGGTGTAGCTGGTAGTTTCTTACAAATACAAAAACCCATTTAGACATTATAATCTATTCAATGTTAGGAAAATATCAAATATTGATTCTGCTCAGAATATCACAGTAATACCAGAATATTCTAATAATTTCAAGGGAATGTGTAAAGGAAGTATTTCTAATTTATCCACATTTTTTATGGCAAATACCTGTGATCTTTGATAACTGTACCACACAATCCAACATCAGGAAAAAAAGCTGAAAAATAACATTTTTTTTTCTTTACTATAACAAAGAAATAAAGGCTTGAAACATCTTACCATCTATGGTCATTGCTATATACATTAGACTTGCCTTGTATTTCCTCAGAGAAATATTGTAAGGTCCATATTAGTTTATATAGAAGACCACTATTCCAATCTTCACTAATTCTGTAGATGATTCAAACTTACTGTAAACTACTATCAAGAGTTTTTATGACTCTTAACAGCCTTTGAACCAGCTTTTAATGCAATGTGGAGATAAAATGGGACCCTTCACAAGCAGCGCTCAAATATCTGAACACTTGAACAGTTTAGAAGGAGCTGACCCATTCTTTTCTCAAAGACATGAAGAAAAATATAGCTTTCAGAATACTGGTAAGTGAAGCTCAAGGTTGTAAGCACTGACCTCTTTGCAGATAAGAATAAAATAGGCTCCAAATTAAATTATTTTTTATTCATTTCCTTTTTTTAAAGTACTTACAATAGTGAGATGATACTATCCTTTGCACTTAAACAAATCAGCCAACAGCATGACGTATTCTATTTTTATGAACATGATTTCTGTATGTATACATTAATACACACAAATCTTTTTCAGTGTTTAATGTTTCCTGTGATTCTCTCATGGATTCATTTCAATACTACCCTGGCAAACAAGACATCTGTTCTACAACTAGGATTAAAAAGCCCCTATAACTGACTGCAACAGCTCAAATAATAAAGAATAGTAAAAAACCTAATTAAGAGACAGAGTGAAAAGCAGTGGGAGAAACATACAGAAAAATTTGTGCTTGGTCACCCACTCCTCTCTTCACACACCCACTCACTCACACCAATGAATATAATAAAAAACCTGCCAGATTTTTATTGCTTCCTCAAAGTGCATAGAATACAGACAGAAAAATGCTATGAACAGAACCTCTGCACCATAAACACACAGATTAGGAAATACAATCTCCCTCATTTGATCTCTTCTTTTCTTCTTAGTATCTTTTCAGATATAACCATTGCTTTGCAGCACCCTTTTGAAGGGTGGGTAAAAAAGCAGAAGCAAGTAGATTCTCTCTGGAAATGCACATCAGAACCAATGACCTAAGTGAAAGAATGCTCACATCGATCTCAACTATGCAGAGATCACAGAGAAAGCACATAACACATAGAATCATAGAATTGTTTAGGTTGGAAAAGACCCTTAAGATCATCAAGTCCAACCGTTAACCTATCACTGCCAAGTCCACCACTAAACCATGTCCTCGAGCACCACGTCTACACGCCTTTTAAATATCTCCAGGCATGGGGACTCAACCACGTCCCTGGGCAGTCTGTTCCAGTGTCTGACTACCCTTTCAGTTAAGAAGTTTTTCTTAATATCTAAATATCTAAACCTGCCCTGGCACAACTTGAGGCCATTTTCTCTCATCCTATCACTTGTTACTTGGGAGAAGAGACCAACACCCACCTCACTACAGCCTCCTTTCAGGTAGTTGTAGAGAGCAATAAGGTCTTCCCTCAGCCTCCTTTTCTCCAGGCTGAACAACCCCAGCTCCCTCAGCCGCTCCTCGTATGATCTCTTCTCCAGACCCTTCACCAGCTTCGTTGCCCTTCTTTGGACACGCTCCAGCACCTCAATGTCCTTCGTGAGGTGTGGGGCCCAAAACTGAACCAAGTGTTCAAGGTGCAGCCTCACCAGTGCCAAGTACAGGGGGACAATCACTTCCCTACTCCTACTGGCCACACTCTTCCTGATGCAAGCCAGGATGCTATTGGCTTTCTTGGCCACCTGAGCACACCGATGGCTCATATTCAGCCGGCTGTCAACCGACACCCCCAGGTCCTCCAGCCACTCTTCCCCAAGCCTGTGGCTTTTCATGGGGTTGTTGTGACCGAAGTACAGGCCCTGGCACGTCTCCATGTTTATATGCCTATCAGGAAAAAAAATCTGATATCAGAATATTTACTAACAGCAGTAGGATTTTTGGAAGAGAGACCAAAATTCACATTTTAGGCCTTAAGCAAATCACAGACTTAAG